AAATATCGGGTAGGTATAGTGTACATAAATTATTTTGTCCATAAGTGTACATAAGTATTTGGGGTCACACATTAAAAACATGGTTGAAATTTGCACATAACAGGAGGGTTAAAAAACGTGTTCTCTTTTATGTAACTGTGTTGTGTACGATGTATTGACGCTGTAGCGCATTTCTCCTCCCGTCCGCCTGGTGGCGCTGTAGTTTTCTCGCAAACGTGGCGTTTGTTTCGAGAAGAACAAAACAGACGTTTCCGTTCGGCGGCAGCGCGTGTGCGAATGTTAGACGTTTGTAATAAAGTTTTGATCCAACACATTTCTCGTTGATCAGACTCGTTTCTCGCAAGTCGTTCCTCTCAGCGGCTGACATGGTGAAGCTGACGGCAGAGCTAATCGAGCAGGCGGCGCAGTACACGAACCCTGTGCGGGACAGAGAGCTGGATCTCCGCGGTGAGTCGAGCAGCAGCATTCATGAGTGAACCACTCATGTATCTGCCTTACTGTAGAAATAACTCCCGCTCGTGTGTTTGTAGGCTATAAGATCCCAGTGCTGGAGAATCTGGGCGCCACACTCGATCAGTTTGATACCGTTGATCTGTCGGATAATGAGATCAGAAAACTGGATGGATTTCCGCTTCTGAAGAGACTCAAAACACTCCTGATGAACAACAACCGGATCTGGTGAGGCAACCAGACAGATATAAACATGCTATGCACTGTTTATCTTCATTATATGCCTTATGAAAGTGTTGTAACATGCTGCTCAGCACTGTTTTACTTGCGAACACACATTAACACAAATTTAAACTTGTTTTGCTTTTGTCGTTCGTGCAGCAGACTTTGCACCTACTACATGACAGAATCTAGCAGATTTAGACAAATGCAGAAATGTTTTTGGGTTTTATTCCAGGGAATCCTTAACAGAATAGTTCATCCAAAAATGGAAATTTGCTGATTTTTTTTTTTTACTCCCCCTTCAGGTAGGGCTGGGCGATATGGCCAACAAATTATCACGGTATTTTTTCTCTCTCACATCAGTCGATATCGATAATTATCGCGATAAAAAAATAATTTCTTTCAAGTTTAAAGGGTTAGTTAACCCCAAAATGAAAATTCTGTCATTAATTACTCACCCTCATGTCGTTCCAAACCCGTAAGACCTTCGTTCATCTTAAAAGGATCCCTGGGTATTAAGACTTGTATGGCTTAATATAACGTAAATGATGTCTCTTCCTGAAATATGTAGTAGAAGACCCATTAAAGATGTATGTTATTTTAAAAATCACATCGTTTTATACATATTTTGGACTATGGGGGGCGCCATTATTCTGATGACGTAAAATGGTTGCACTCGGTGAGCTACTGCCGCTACCTGTTGCTAATTTTACCACAACCCAACTCGGAATAGACACTTTCAGATTATCTAAATCTCAATTTAAAAACAAATTGACCCTTATGACTGGTTTTGTGGTCCAGGGTCACGGTGAAAGTGACCGAAACCATGCATTAAGGTGGTGACACAGCTTACCCGCAATTCTCTGCTAACTTTTAATTCACTAATTACACTACTTTTATGAAGGCATTTTCTCTGTGCATGCAGGTATCTATCAATATAAAACGTTTCCTACTGCCACTGATTTGAAGAGGTATGACCAATGGAGCAGTAATTACAATCCCCTTTCCTCCTGTTAAGTCCTGATGTATCAAATACTGTTTCCGTGTCCAAGCCTCCACTCCGCTTCAGTTGAGAATACTATCAGAATACCATCATAAACAGCTGTTTATGAGCACTATTCATGTCTAGCACACTTCAAAGCTAAGCTTTTAAAAGCTCACAGTGTACACTACAGTATGTGGGCACACACAGTGTCCAAGATAATAATGTTTTAAGTTTTAGAAAAGATGAATCAGTCTGGCCAACTGAACTTTTGGTATGGAGATAAAGGCTAGGATCATGGTTTTTAGGCAGTACTTACAGCACAGCGTGACTTTGTTGTTTGCTTTTGGGATCTAAAGGAGCATTTGGACCCAGAGACGCGTGACGTAAGACTTAACCAGATTGCTATCATCTGTACATGTTTACTCACATCACGCCCATAACCACCATTTCCCCAGCTACACACACACACACGCACACACACACAGATTTGTTTGACAATATTAGTGACAACATTTCATACACACACTCACAGGCTGGCAGTTGGTTAGTCGACCCTCAGATATTCAATTTGTTGTATATGTCAAACCCTCAATCCAAATGGTCTATATATTTTGACATAAATGTATCACCATAATGACAACTAAGTGCGTCATTGGAATGCCCAGTGTTATTATATGTAATTATTAACACGGAGAAAGCGCTTGCATGAATGTAATCTGCGTAATCAGTGTTGTTAGCGTTCGGAGGAGAAAGCGCTCGCATGAACGTAATCTGCGTAATCAGCGTTGTTTACGTTTGGAGGAAAGGGAAATCTGCGCTGAGAAACTCCTCTAGCGGCCGCACGTCATGATTAGCGTCGGCATGTTTACAGGATGATATAACGTTTCTCGGCCGTTTGTAAGCTCTTTCAGTAGCTGTGGTCTACTAAAAGACTCAAAGGCATCAGGACTAAAGTGGAGTGAAAAAAGAAGCGGGTCTTTAGGAAGTTTTATTCGTCCACAGGCATCTTCCCATTCTTTTCTCCTCTTCTTGTGAAGTCTTGCATTGCTTCTCTTGTTGCCCTTCGACTGAAAATTACAACCAAAAGTCACACAATGTGATATCGTATCAGTATTTTATTTTCTGAGTTGTGTATTCTGAGTTGTGTTGCGGTAAAAAGCCAAAGACTATAGAAATAAGCGCCAGTAGCTCACCGAGTGCAACCATTTGACGTCATCGACGCAGAATGTACTGTGCACATAAAATAATGGCGCCCCCCATAGTCCAAAAACCATGTCGGTTTTTTTAAATAACATACATCTTTCATGGGGTTTCTACTATATATTTAAATAAGAGACATCATTTACGTTATATTAAGCTATACATGTCTTAATACCCGGGGATCCCTTTAAGAACACGAATTAAGATATTTTTGATGAAATGTGAGAGCTCTCAGACCCTGCGTAGACAGCAACGCAGCTGAAATGTTCCCAAGTCCAGAAACGTAGTAAGGACATCGATAAAACAGTCCATGTGACATCAGTGGCTCAACTTCAGTTTTGCGAAACTACCAGAATACTTTTTGAGCACAAAGAAAACAAAAATAACAATTTATTTAACAATTCTTCTCCCCCGAGTTACATCTTCTGCCATTTTGGAGAGTACCCAAGAGCGTAATCGATGTAATCAGCGTTGTTTACGTTTGGAGGAGAAAACGCGCGCATGAACGTAATCTGCGTAATCAGCGTTGTTAGCGTTCGGAGGAGAAAGCGCTCGCATGAACGTAATCTGCGTAATCAGCGTTGTTAGCGTTCGGAGGAGAAAGCGCTCGCATGAACGTAATCTGCGTAATCAGCGTTGTTAGCGTTCGGAGGAGAAAGCGCTCGCATGAACGTAATCTGCGTAATCAGCGTTGTTAGCGTTCGGAGGAGAAAGCGCTCGCATGAACGTAATCTGCGTAATCAGCGTTGTTAGCGTTCGGAGGAGAAAGCGCTCGCATGAACGTAATCTGCGTAATCAGCGTTGTTAGCGTTCGGAGGAGAAAGCGCTCGCATGAACGTAATCTGCGTAATCAGCGTTGTTAGCGTTCGGAGGAGAAAGCGCTCGCATGAACGTAATCTGCGTAATCAGCGTTGTTTACATTCGAAGGAGAAAGCGCTCGCATGAACGTAATCTGCATAATCAGCGTTGTTAGCGTTCGGAGGAGAAAGCGTGCGCATGAACGTAATCTGCGTAATCAGCGTTGTTAGCGTTCGGAGGAGAAAGCGTACGCATGAACGTAATCTGCGTAATCAGCGTTGTTAGCGTTCGGAGGAGAAAGCGCTCGCATGAACGTAATCTGCGTAATCAGCGTTGTTTACGTTCGGAGGAGAAAGCGCTTGCATGAATGTAATCTGCGTAATCAGCGTTGTTTAGGCTTAGGGGAAAGCATGCGTATGCATTGTGATACTCTCTAAAAAAAATGTTTTTATGCATTTATGAAAAACAGTAGTCTAAATACATTTATAAATGCATAAACGCTTAATCACAAAAAAATACTGTAATTATATTCAATTACTCCTTCAATATATTTAATACATGTCTACATTAATAATATAATAAAATTTGACACGACTACACACATTGTTTACGTTTGGAGGAGAAAGCGCTCGCATTAACATAATCTGTGTAATCAGCGTTGTTAGCGTTCGGAGGAGAAAGAGCGCGCATGAACGTAATCTGCGTAATCAGCGTTGTTAGCGTTCGGAGGAGAAAGCGCTCGCATGAACGTAATCTGCGTAATCAGCGTTGTTAGCGTTCGGAGGAGAAAGCGTGCATGAATGTAATCTGCGTAATCAGCGTTGTTAGCGTTCGGCGGAGAAAGCGCTCGCATGAACGTAATCTGCGTAATCAGCGTTTACGTTCGGAGGAGAAAGCGCTCGCATGAACGTAATCTGCGTAATCAGCGTTGTTTACGTTCGGAGGAGAAAGCGTGCGCATGAACGTAATCTGCATAATCAGCGTTGTTTACGTTTGGAGGAGAAAGCGCTCGCATGAACGTAATCTGCGTAATCAGCGTTGTTTACGTTCGGAGGAGAAAGCGCTTGCATGAATGTAATCTGCGTAATCAGCGTTGTTTAGGCTTAGGGGAAAGCATGCGTATGCATTGTGATACTCTCTAAAAAAAATGTTTTTATGCATTTATGAAAAACAGTAGTCTAAATACATTTATAAATGCATAAACGCTATAGGTTAATCACAAAAAAATAAATACTGTAATTATATTCAATTACTCATCCTTCAATACATTTAATACATGTCTACATTAATAATATAATAAAATTTGACACGAATACACAAATTTCTGACACAATACCATGGTGCAGTTAGTGCTACAGTAAATCCATGGTAAATGATGGCGATTTGCATTTAAAAAGTCTTCTGACTGTATCGTTGCGCACAGTGTTTCTGCTGTTTATCAGCGCTGTTTCATCTGGCTGTAAACAGTTATTTGTGTTCCTCGCTGAATTCAAGCGCTTCACACTGGCTCTCTCAGCACTGTTCAGTGTCGCGTGAGCGAGACTCATCAGCGAGTGAACGCATCTGCTCTAGTGAAGCTAGAAAAGCTCAGAGTGGCGCGCTTCAAATGACTAGCGCTCTTTCGTTCCGCCTTTGCCGTTTAAACATTATATCGAACATTTATCAAACTCTTGTTATCGTTTATCGAGGAAATTTATATCGCGCGATAATTATCGTTATCGTTTTATCGCCCAGCCCTACCCTCAGGCCATCCCAGATGTAAATGAGTTTGTTTTCTTCATCAGAACAGATTTGGAGAAATGTAGCTTTGCATCACTTGCTCACCAATGGATGCTCTGCAGTGAATGGGTGCCGTCACAATGAGAGTCCAAACAGCTGATAAAAAAATCACAATAATCCACAAGAAATCCACACCACTCCAGTCAACGTAATCTGCGTAATCAGTGTTGTTTACGTTCGGAGGAGAAAGCATGCGCATGAACGTAATCTGCATAATCAGCGTTGTTTACGTTCGGAGGAGAAAGCGCGCGCATAAACGTAATCGACGTAATCAGTGTTGTTTACGTTCGGAGGAGAAAGCACGCGCATGAACGTAATCGACGTAATCAGTGTTGTTTACATTCGGAGGAGAAAGCGCGCGCATGAACGTAATCTGCGTAATCAGCGTTGTTAGCGTTCGGAGGAGAAAGCACTCGCATGAACGTAATCTGCGTAATCAGCGTTGTTTACGTTTGGAGGAGAAAGTGCGCATGAACGTAATCTGCGTAATCAGCGTTGTTTACGTTCGGTGCCGTCAGAATGAGAGTCCAAACAGCTGATAAAAACATCACAGTCCACACCACTCCAGTCCATCAATTGTCTTGTGAAGTGAAAAACTACATGTTTGTGAGAAACAAATCCATCGTTAAGATGTTTTAACTTTAAACCATCGTTTCTGACCAAAATATGAGTCCATAATAATGCTTCTCCAGTGAAAAGGTCCATCTCCTGTTGTCGTTGCAGATCAAAATATTTGTTTAGAGCTATTTTAGCTTGTAAACGGTGCTTGGTCTGTGCATATTTCTCTCCTGATTAAGGTTGCAAAAAGGTGGAACATTTTCATTAAATTTTGGAAACATTCCAGAAATTTTGGAAACTTTCCAGGGATTTTTGGAAAGTTTCCGGAAATTTTCCACCCCTTTGCAACCTTACTCCTGATTCAGACGAGGTATCTTTTCACTGCATGAAGTGTTATGGATATACTCGTATTTTACTCGTATTTTAGCCAGAAGCAATGGTTTGAATTTAAAAGCAACTTTGAGTTGTGTGGATTATTGTGATGTTTTTATCAGCTGTTTGAACTCCCATTCTTTTTGTCATTCTCGTTTGCAAAGTGGAGATTCTGGAGAAGATTTGAGTTTGTTACCCTACAGCAATATGGAGTAGAGGGTTATGGTTTGACTGTTTTTGTCTTGCTTATTGCAGCCGAATTGGAGAGAACCTGGAGCAGTCTTTACCAGACCTGAAAGAGCTCATTCTCACAAGCAACAACATTCAAGAACTGTTTACGTTCGGAGGAGAAAGCGCTTGCATGAATGTAATCTGCGTAATCAGCGTTGTTTAGGCTTAGGGGAAAGCATGCGTATGCATTGTGATACTCTCTAAAAAAAATGTTTTTATGCATTTATGAAAAACAGTAGTCTAAATACATTTATAAATGCATAAACGCTTAATCACAAAAAAATACTGTAATTATATTCAATTACTCCTTCAATATATTTAATACATGTCGGATTATTGTGATGTTTTTATCAGCTGTTTGAACTCCCATTCTTTTTGTCATTCTCGTTTGCAAAGTGGAGATTCTGGAGAAGATTTGAGTTTGTTACCCTACAGCAATATGGAGTAGAGGGTTATGGTTTGACTGTTTTTGTCTTGCTTATTGCAGCCGAATTGGAGAGAACCTGGAGCAGTCTTTACCAGACCTGAAAGAGCTCATTCTCACAAGCAACAACATTCAAGAACTGGTGAGTCCAACCATAGATGTGCTGTTATGCACATTAATCAATCAGTCTGTGAGCTTTGAATTTGGTTTCACTGAATTGTTGTCAAATGGTTGTTTCTGGTTTTCAACAGGGTGATTTGGATCCTCTTGCATCAGTGAAATCATTGTCCCTCCTCAGGTACCTGCTGGATAAACTGCTGTTTTACACATTTTATTAAGCTTTAATGTTTTAACTTCAGATAATTTGAGCTGTTTTTCTGTTTTGTAGTCTCCTTAGGAATCCAGTTACTAACAAGAAACATTACAGATTATATGTCATCAATAAAATACCACAGATCCGAGTTCTGGACTTCCAGAAGGTGAAAATGAAGGTATGATTAAACCATAACACGTTTTTTTTTTTTTTTTTTTTTCCTACACTACCATTCAAAATATTTTTAAAAAAATATTCTAAATTTGAATAATATTTCATAATATTACAGTTTTTACTGAATTATTGGTCAAATAAATGCAGCCTTGGTGAGCAGAAGAGACTTTTAAAAATCCTTTGGTCCCCAAAATTTTGAACAGTAGTGTGCATATCACTTTAAAGGGGTCGTGAACTGAGAAATTAAAATTCCCTTGATCTTTTGACAGATAAGAGGTCGTTGTTCTATAGAAACATCCTGTAAGTTTCAGAACTCAAATCTTTCTCGTTAGTCTAAAAACAGCTTATATTGAAGTCAATCTGCCAAAACGACAGCTTGTGGAATGTGCCACTTTATTACGTATTAGTGTGGCTAAACCCCGCCTCCGCAGAAGATCAATGCCTGCTTCAACATCACTGCCTGTTTATTATAATTAAACCGCCCACCGATTCACACACGTAGTGGGTAAATAATGAGAGAGGCAAATGCAGGTCTATGCAGAAATCCAATGATAAAGACGGCTCCAAAGACACCAAGATGCTGTGAAGTGCCAAGTTGTGGAAAAACACAGTCTTTGCATTGCCTTCCTTCTGATCCCAACATTAGTAAAGACATTTATAATGTTACAAAAATGCTGTTCTTTTGAACTGTTTTCAACATTGATGATAAGAAATGTTTCTGGAGCATCAAATCAGCATATCAAAATGATTTCTGAAGGATCATGTGACACTGAAGACTGGAGTAATGATGCTGAAAATTACATCACTGCCTGTTTAGCCCCGCCCACCGATTTTACATCACTGCCTGTTTAGCCCCGCCCACCGATTTTACATCACTGCCTGTTTAGCCCCGCCCACCGATTCTGCATCACTGCCTGTTTAGCCCCGCCCACTGGAGTGTTAGTGAGATGAAGAGAAGAGCAGTATAGGATCACTAGACTAAAAAAACAGTACCTTCCAAAGGATCCTAATCCTAGTAAAGTTATGATTTATTTGCAACTATGTGGATGTCTAAGTAGAGCATTTTTGTTTGTTCAGTACATTTGACTGTGGATTCTTTTGTAAATCAGTCGCAGTTTCGGCGCAGGCTTTGCAAGCAGACTTTTACGCTAAGATATGAACCCGACAGTAATACCACAACATGTAAGTAACCGTTTTCATACTATTGCCTAATCGTAAATTATATACATAAAGCGATCAAAGAACGCTTCCTTCATAATCGCTGAAGCTGTCAATCACACAGTGAAAGTACACTGCTCAAAGAATCTGTTATTTACATCGCTTTTGTGCTGTTAGTTTTGATAAAAGCATTTGTGAAAGTGCAAAACTCGAGTTGCAATGACGAGAACACTGCATTCAAGCGCTCAACAGTCTGTCATCACAGAGCTCATCGCTGCAACCTTTCGTGCAATGTGAGTAGATCTAAATATAATGCTATAATCAACACTTTTCACGATTAGTTAATCTCAACAGCTGTAACAGTAAAAGCGCTGCAAGTTTTCAAGAGCTCCACGTTTAATACTTTTTTTTTTTTTGTATGTCAGCCAATCATTTTACTGAAGTCTGACAGCAGACACGCCCCTTCCAGCAGAGCAGAGCGGCTAAAATCAGGGTAGAAAAAATTTCCTTTTATTTCTAAATTATGGCCATTTTTTATGTGAAAATCATACTAGCATTATAAGTGCACCTCAGGAAACATTATCAAATAATTGAAAAATGCAGTTCATGACCCCTTTAAATAAATATGTCAGTGGACAAAAATATTTTGTATACATTTTTTTTTGTGCAGTTCATGTTTGTTTTGTTCAAATTTAGGACAGATTATTTCTACTCCGATTTCTAGGTCTTGTCTATTTTGAAGAATAACTTGAGGGAGACTTTAATCTCGTTAAATATTATCAGTGATGCAAATATATCTTAAGTTTTACTTCTGAAATGTGATTGTTTTAAATATTGGTGTGGTTATTTACTAATAATTTTGTACGGAATTTATTCTTTTTTTTATTCTTTTGAGATATTTAACAATTTACAAAACAGACTATTTGATAATGCATACTACTTCCTTCGGACAGATTATTTCTTATTTTCTGTTTGTTTATGACTGTAGTCTCACCCTGAGCCCTGTTCTTCATGCTTTGCATAGTTCATCTGGCATTATAGAGATAATTCCCCTTTGGATAATTAGTTTTTTTAAGTGCACATCCGGACTGAATTTGTTTGGTTAAGATCGATTGAGTTAATTCAGTAATGCATGCATGAAGAACAGGGTCGTGGTCTGTTGTGAACGTCTGCTTTAACTCTCTGATGTATCACTGTAGGAACGGCAGGAGGCTGAAAAAATGTTCAGAGGCAAACGAGGTGCTCAGCTTGCAAAGGATATTGCCAAGCAAACCAAAACGTAAGATGAAACTCCTTGATCAAGCACAGCTCCCCCGAATTAATGGACTGTGGAAGTTATGAACTCGACATCTCGGAGAATGAAAGCTCACTCTGAATTGGCTGTTAAAACCTAAATGTCCATGTCAGACTTCGGCAGTGTTTCTCAGGGGAGCTGGCTCAAGGCTTTTCTGTCTCGTATCAGTTTATTCATATTGATAAGATACTCCAGATACTACACTCTGGTTGTTGGAACAGTGGTTGAAAGGCTGCAGAGGCACATAAACACGGTTACGTTGTCTGAACACCAAATGTCCTCTGTTGCTCTCAGGTTTACTCCAGGAGCAGCACTTCAGATTGAGAAAACAGGGCCGTCGGCTGCAGATGTTGAAGCCATCAAGGTACGGAAGAACTGAACACTCAAGAGGTTGCATTTTAAATACATTTATATGGATATATTTGGAATTTAACTATATTATATTCTATAATATAAAAAGCCTTGTATATATATATATATATATAATACACATAAATTAGGAATTTTATATTACAGTATATAATATATATTCTAAAATATATTCGATAATGTTAAAGGGGTCATATGATGCGATTTCCTGTTTTCCTTTCTCTTTGGAGTGTTACAAGCTCTTGGTGCATAAAGAAGATCTGTAAAGTTGCAAAGACTAAAGTCTCAAACCCAAAGAGATATTCTTTATAAAAGTTAAGAGTCAGCCACGCCTACCTAAAACGGCTCGTTCTAACACGCCCCCACATGTCTACGTCACGATGTGGGAATATTTGCATAACGCCGCCCAAATGTTCACGCAAAGAAAGAAGGCGTAACTTTTATTCTCGCTGTAGTATTGTTGCTGCCGCCACCATGTCGTGAAGACGCTGTATGCTTCGTTGTGAAAAACAAACTACTTTGTCTGGCCTTCCAAAAGAGGAAACAATTAGAAATCAGTGGGTACATTTTATTTACAACACTGTTCCAGAACACTTCAACCCAAATATTTGAGTGCATGCAGTGCATTTTACGGAGGAAAGCTTCCTGAACCTGGTAAGGGGCGTAACATTTCCATCACACGCTTGAGGTATTCGGCCAATCACAACGCACTGGATAGCTGGCCAATCAGAAGTCTCTTCTGCTCATCAAGGCTGCTATTTCTATAAAAAAAACAGTAAAAACAAATATTGTGAAATACTATTTCTATTTAAAATATCTGTTTTCTATGTTAATATATTTTGAAATGTAATTTATTCCTGTGATCAAAGCTGAATTGTCAGCATCATTCCTCCAGTCTTCAGCGTCACATGATCCTTCAGAAATCAGTCTAATATGCTGATTTGATGCTCCAGAAACATTGATTATTATCAATGTTAAAAACAGTTGTGCTGCTTCATGTTTTTGTGGAAACTCTGATGCATTTTTATTTAGAATGTTTTGATGAATAGAGAGTTCGAAAGAACAGCATTTATTTGAAAAAGAAATCGTTGGTAACATTATAAATGTCTTTACTGTCACTCCTGATCTATTTAATGCATCCTTGCTGAATAACAGTATTGATTTCTTGTACTCCTCAAATGTCAGTTTAATGTATTCATATAGCTTGTTCATATATGAATACATATAGGTTGATGTCCTGGTATAATGTGTCTCACCTGTGTTGTTTATGTGAAGAATGCTATTGCTAATGCCACGTCCCTGGCTGAAGTTGAGCGGCTGAAGGGACTCCTGCAGGCCGGACAGATCCCAGGACGAGAGCTGAGATCAGGTATTATATTTCAGTTGCACTTATACATAAACACATTAACCACAAATGATGGGAAAAGTCATGAATTCATTGGTGAAAGAGTGGGAACTCTGTGTGTAACATTGATGCGGTTGATGATTGCTGCTCTTAGTATGAATAGCTGACGTGAGTCTCAGACTGAGGCTTTTCTGAAAAGCCAATTTGTTTGGTGTGCAATCAAACAACATTTTAATAAGTCATGGGACATACCTGGTTTCCTTTAAAGCACTTAAAATGATCGAGCTTCTCACAAGTCTTTTGTTTGCCTTTTTCAGGAGCATCTAACATGGTAGAGGAAGAGGAGGAGATGCAGGAGTCGGAGCCCATGTGTGAGGAGACGCAGGGAGCAGAGGGAGAAAACGGAGACACTGATGACGTGCAGGAAGACGTGCATATGAATGGATCATAGATGTGTTCGTTTGTTGATGTTTCAGAATCGTTAATGCTTTTTGATGCTGTTTGACAGCACTGGTTTCAATAAGTCTTGTTTTTTGTAAAATACATTAAACATTTTTTTTTATTAACTTTGATGTGAATGTTTTTGTTCTTTATGTATATACGTAGTCAAGAATTTCTTCTGTTTTCTAATATTCTGTGAACTGAAACGTATGACCACCGCCAAAGATTAGAAATTCAAATATATTAATGCTGATTATTTACAGTTTGTTCATTATTTTAAGAACTCGTTTCACTCAAACTATAAATGCATGGCACGTTTCTTGCCCAGTTATTTTGTAAACGCTTAGTAAATCTGCAGTTTTTTTAGATGCCACAAAGCCCTAAATGTGACCATCCTCGTGAGGAACCCAATTCTAAAATTCAAAAAGCATCTATATATTTTCTTGTATAAATACCTAATTTAAAATGTTAAATTAAAAATCAAACAATTATAAATTGTACTTAAAAAATATTTTAAATGTCTAAAAATATTTAGTTCCAATTAAGATGCATTGTTCTTTCCTACTCGTACTGTTACCTTTGTTATTTACGTTTTACAATCTGTATTTGAATTATTTTGTTTTTGTTTTAAACACATGTATTTTTTTTTTATCTACTCATTTACTAATTCTCCTTTTAAGTTGCTTATTTCACCTTTTTTAGTTTTACATATACATGTGTATATATACATACGTGCAGTGTTGGGGGTAATATATTACAAGTAACGCAAGTTACGTAATCAGATTACTTTTTTCAAGTAACTAGTAAAGTAACGCATTACTTTTTAATTTACAAGAGAATATCTGAGTTACTTTTTCAAATAAGTAACGCAAGTTACTTTTTTTTTTCAATTTATTGATTGACAGCTCTCCTGCCCCCATGTTGAGAGAAATCAGATGTTACTGTAGTTCTAAAATAAATATGAATATGCATTAATTCATCTCACTCAAAAAAAAAACAGATTCAGTATTCCTCAAAATGAATAAAAATAATGCAACTCAGAATATGACGCAAACCTGCAATAATTAAATGTTAAGCAACACAAATATCCTTTATGTATTTATTCCCATTCTATTAACCAATGTCTTTGCTTCTGACCTTCGATGATCCAGTTCAGCCATACTAATAAGCAAAAATTACTCTAGACGAACATTTGTGTGTCTTTTTTTATTACTTTTTTATGGAGTAACGCAATATTGTAATGCATTACTTTTAAAAGTAACTTTCCCCAACACTGCATACGTGTGTGTGTGTGTGTTTGTGTGTTTTCCCTTGTGCTCTCTGGAGTTTTTAGAAAGCTTTGAGTACTTCTAAAACTTTTAAATCTACATATAAATACTTGGGCTAATCATTCAGCGCTCTTAGGCTGATGATACACGGGGGCAAGTTGTGGTCTTTATTGCAATATATTTAGACTTTTAAGTCAAATAAGCAGTATAGCATAATAGAAAAGAAGACTATTTATATATTTAATATTTTACTGTTTAATATCTACTATATTACTGTATCGCGTACCTTGTCAGTGTCGTGCGCTTTGCTTGGCCATTTGTTGGGATAAACAGGAAAGTGTGTTCAAGCACCAGCAAAACAGTGTAAATAAATAGTCTTTGTGAGAAGCAGTCAATC